CCCTGGTGTTTTTCCCAGCCAGATGTTATGTGGATACCCTTCGCAGTTCTGGTGCTTTCTGTTGGGGGTGGGGGGGGGCATCTTGGGGATTTGAACCCAGAGTTCTCAGTGGCAACCCCTCACAGCTGAGATATCTCTCCAGAACTTCAGTTGCTGTCTGTGGGAGCCCAGCCAGCCCTCTCGTGCCTCTGCCCCTCCTCCTAGTTCCTATGCAATCTCCACTTTCCGTCCTTGGTTACCAGGTTTCTCTCCAGTGAGTCTCCCGTTGATTATTCAGGAAGTTTTTCCATATTTTAGTGGTAATTCCATTTTGGTCCTGAGAGCATGCCTATGCAGCATCCACTTACTCTTAATCCTTCTGGTTAAGTTTCATTTCAAATTAACTTTTATATGTGGGCAAAAGGTATAGATAGGTGTGTTTTCCATATGGAATTTCGGTTGGCCAAGCACAATTTATCAAAAAGACCATTTGTCCCCTCTTAATTTTAGTAACACCTTTGCCAGCAATCAGCTGACCATAGATGTTGTCTGTCGGTTTCTGGACCTATTCTGTTCTGTCTATTCTTGCATCTTTGTAAGAGATTTTGATGCTTGGTAATAGAAGTCCTGAGGAAAGGGGCTTTTTAAAAAACGGGATATATTTGAGCTCATGTAAAATCCAACGGAAGGATCTAGTTGAGAGTGAGAAGTTGACTAAAAAAGAGAGAGGACAGTCTACCCCTGAAATTTCCTGAGAAGATAGGAGGAACTGGGATCCAGGTGCTAGTGGGAGGGTTGGCGGTAGATACTCATCTACTAGTCCATTCAACATCAATGTTTTGGACAGCTCCTGTGTGCCAGCCTCAGGCATACAGCTGTGCATGCAGCTGTGCACTTCTCATGGAGCTCCCACCACTGGAGCTCCAACAGATGGTTCAGGCAGCAGTGAGTGCCACAAAGAACACAAGTGGGATATTGTGGTGGACAGTAACGGAAGACTGCTCCAACTGGGCAGCAAGGAAGGCCTCTGGGTGTCAATGACACAGGAGTTATGATCTGCACAAGCAAGAGCCACCTTTGAGAGCTGACCCAGAGTCGGGACAGACAGAGGGAACAGACAGAGGGAACAGACAGTGCAAAGTCCCTCAGGCTAATGCCAGCTTGTGGTGTCGGTGGAACAAACAAAGGACTAGTGTGGGTGCAGCAGTGCAAAGAGATGGGGAGCAGGGTGACCAAATGACATCAGAAAGTGAGTTAGAGACCAACAAATCTCCAAGGAGGGCATTCCTTAGGGTTGGTTAACTGTGGGGTTTTAGTACCTGTGAGTTGGGTGGGTTAGTTGTGGGTGGAGGGACTGTTGTTAATGTATGTGTTGGGGGCATCTTGTCCTTGTGAAACTGCTCTCACACTTGCCCTCTCTCCCTGCAGCCTCCTGAATGATGCCAGCGCAATGTTCCCGAGCCTCCAGCCTGGCCCTCCTGCTGCTGTTGGGCGCAGTCCGAGCAGGCCCTTTCTCTCCACGCTCCAATATGACACTCCCAGCCCCTCGGCCCCCTCCTCAGCCAGGGGGCCGCACAGCGGAGCCAAGAGGGGGGAACCCCTCTTCTCAGCTTTACGAGCACATTGTAGAAGGAGGGGAAAAGCAGGTGGTGTTCACCCACCGCATTAACCTGCCCCCTTCAGCTGGCTGTGGCTGTCCCCCAGGCACTGAGCCCCCTGTCCCTGCTTCAGAGGTGCAGGCCTTGAGGGTCCGGCTAGAGATCCTGGAGGAGTTGGTGAAGGGGCTCAAGGAACAGTGCACTGCGGGATGCTGTCCTGCTGCTGCCCAGGCTGGCACAGGTGAGCACATGACCACAGGAGGGGGCACAGGAAAAGGGGCAGGTGGGGAAGTTGGGTGGGCATCGCCAGTCTATAAAAGACCCGGTATGAATTAGAAAAAGGCACCTCTTCCTCATCACTTGGGGTGGTGAGTGCAGCCCAGGGCACAGCTTGGGGAGGGGAGCCATCTGGCTAGACGTCAGCTCCCCTCCCCCCGCACAGTGATAAGGAGCAGCTGGAAGCTAAGATGGCCCTGCTGGAGGGGAAGCTCAGGGGGCACTGTAGGGACCCAGCCTCTTGCCCAGAGAGACTGAGGCCCTCCTCTCACTCTTACTCCAGGCCAGACCGACGTTCGTAGCCTCTGCAGCCTCCACGGCGTGTTTGACTTGAACCGCTGCGCCTGTTCCTGCGAGCCTGGCTGGGGTGGGCCCACCTGCTCCGACCCCACGGACTCCCGAGTGTCCCCTTCCTCCCCACCCTCTGCTTCCGGGTCCTGCCCAGATGACTGCAACGATCAGGGGCGCTGTGTCCGTGGTCGCTGCGTGTGCTTCTCTGGCTACACGGGCCCCAGCTGTGGCTGGCTGGTTATGGGCTGGATCCCCCGTAAGGGGTATGCAGGAGGCAGCCCATTGATGCTTCCCTCTCATTTCTCTCTCATCAATGTTTCTATGTCTCTCTTCCTCTCTCTGAAATCAATAAAAACATACTTTAAAAAGTAAAGTAAAACCATAGGAGACATCGTATTACAGTCTTTATGGTTATACTCTCTATCTCAATATCTATGAACATACAATAAGTTCCATATACTTTCATTCTATCAAATTTATTCACTTATTGGAAACGTATATTTACATACAGTTTCCAAAGCTCTTCAATAGTTCTTGCTTTAAGAAAATTCAGCCTAATCGCAAATCCCGATTTTAATCTCTTCCAGGCATCCCATCTCTTATGAGAGCAATGCTGTGATGATGAGGATGGACCCTGAGAGGGAAGGAGAAATCCTTACAGACTAGGAACCTGGTTAAAATAGGTTCCATCTCATGGAGGTAACACCTGGAAAAAATCACCCGGTGGGACCAACCACCATGATATGTCTTCCTACAGAATGTATCATACAAAAGAGGCTTCACTGGGTGAATGTACTCACTTTTTAAAACACACATTCAATGTCTAGTTCAAAAGGACAATGGATTT